CAACTCCCTTGTTATTGGTAGCGGCTTCTGTGAGGCCTTATCCATTAACTCTGCACGCCTTTCCGAGTCAGACCGGAAAGCAAGCATCCGTTCTGACGCGCGTGCTGCTTCAGCTTGCGGAACACGGGGCAGTTTGCCAATGGACGGCGCAAGGATGGTCGAAGCGAAGCGCTTCTTCCGTTCCCGGCATCGCGCGCCACGAAGGCAGCTTTGCCCGCCCAAAAGGCCGCGCATGGCCCATCCACAGTGCCAAACCTTGTGCGTGAACATGTGTACTTTTGGGCCCAGTGCTTGAAGTTCATCTTGGTCTCACGAAGCAAGCAAACAATCGCTACATCAAATAGGAGTCTCCCACTGCCCCGACCTTTTTGGAGTGCTGCTGCTGAAGCCACGAGCGCAGGAGTTTACCCGCAGCAGGTAGGTTTGAGACTGAGACAGCTTGTACCAATGCCAGTAGAATCCCTGCTCAGAGTTCTTTCCACTGGCACGCGCTCTACGCCCATGTCACTACTCACGCACCGGCAAGGTCAGAAACGCTGGGGCTGCTAGGATGTCCAGAGACACTACACAGACTCACCGCAAACAGGGTCATCAAAAAGTCATATCTCTGCGGCGCTGACCGGAGTCTATGCCTCCCTCACTCCCTGAATGATTCGTCCTTTTCGGGGTTCACTGGCTATGCTGGCCACCCTTGCCGGTGTCACCACCCTATAGGCTCATGCTCCATCCACAGTGCCAGAGCTTCCCACTGCCCCGACCTTTTTGGAGTGCTGCTGCGATGTGCAGCATGAAGCCACGAGCGCAGGAGTTTACCCGCAGCAGGTAGGTTTGAGACTGAGACAGCTTGTACCAATGCCAGTAGAATCCCGCTGCTCAGAGTTCTTTCCACTGGCACGCGCTCTACGCCCATGTCACTACTCACGCACCGGCAAGGTCAGAAACGCTGGGGCTGCTAGGATGTCCAGAGACACTACACAGACACACCGCAAACAGAGACCGGAGTCTATGCCTCACTCCTTGCGTGCCGCGTCCTTTTCGGGGGTTTCTGGCTTCGCTGGTCGCCTTTGCAGTTGTCACTTTTTTGGACATGGCCGCCCCATAGACTCATAGACCCATGCTCTATCCACGGTGCCAAACCTTGTGCGTGAACATGTGTACTTTTGGGCCCAGTGCTTGAAGTTCATCTTGGTCTCACGAAGCAAGCAAACAATCGCTACATCAAATAGGAGTCTCCCACTGCCCCGACCTTTTTGGAGTGCTGCTGCGATGTGCAGCATGAAGCCACGAGCGCAGGAGTTTACCCGCAGCAGGTAGGTTTGAGACTGAGACAGCTTGTACCAATGCCAGTAGAATCCCGCTGCTCAGAGTTCTTTCCACTGGCACGCGCTCTACGCCCATGTCACTACTCACGCACCGGCAAGGTCAGAAACGCTGGGGCTGCTAGGATGTCCAGAGACACTACACAGACTCACCGCAAACAGAGACCGGAGTCTATGCCTCACTCCTTGCGTGCCGCGTCCTTTTCGGGGGTTTCTGGCTGCGCTGGTCGCCTTTGCAGTTGTCACTTTTTTGGACATGGCCGCCCCATAGACTCATAGACCCATGCTCTATCCACGGTGCCAAACCTTGTGCGTGAACATGTTTACTTTTTGGGCGCAGTGCTTGAAGTTCATCTTGGTCTTACGAAACAAACCAACCGTCGCTACATCAAATTGCTGCCGCGATGCGCAGCATGAAGCCACGAGCGCAGGAGCTTTCCCGCAGGAGGCAGGTTTGAGACTGAGACTGCCTGTGTAATGCCACTAGAATCGAGCTGTGCAGAGTTCTTGTCGTGTTCTTTTCACAGACATGCGCCCTACGTCCCGCACCGGCAAGGTCAGAAACGCTGGAGCTGCTAGGATGTCCAGAGACACTACACAGACTCACCGTAAACAGGGTCATCAAAAAGTCATATCTCTGCGGCGCTGACCGGAGTCTATGCCTCACTCCCTGAATGATTCGTCCTTTTCGGGGTTCACTGGCTACGCTGGACACCCTTGCCGGTGTCACCGCCCTATAGGCTCATGCTCCGGCACAGCGCTCGAAGTTCCTGTTGGTCTCACGCAACAATGCAACAGTCGCTACATCAACTTGGACCCACTTCCACGACCTTTTCCTGAGCTGTCCTTTTCATACAGAAAAGGCTTCGGTGTAGGATCTGCAGCAAGCACGCAACATGGGGTACTTGCAGCTTGTGTGGATTGACGTCAGCTATGACATGGATTTATCTTCCAAGCTAAGTCGGTAGTAAGGCAACTTGAGCCAAAGTTTTGCACTGCTCGGGCCAAGCAACTGATATTCAAGGTTCAGAGCCCCAAAGCCCAGTTCCCAGGAAACGAACTGCTGTTTTGCACCCAAGTTGCATAAATTGAGAACAGCAACTCCAAATTTGCAGTGCCCAGCCCAATGGCTCGAGATTTCTGGCCAAGAAGCGGAACAGGACAATGTGCAACGCACAATGGAACAGTGCACGATCAGCACGATCAGCACGCCCCTGCTGATGATGCATGGTAAGGCAGACGTGGGCTAGCAAAACACTTGCGCAGGATTTGCAGCGCCTTTTGGAAAGCCGGTTGTGCTGTCAAGCCTTTGCATCCAAGCTTTGCAGCGGATTCAATCGCATCACGGCTGATGAAGCCGCAGGAGTTGCACGGACTTACAGATGACTTTGTGCCCTAGTGCCCAAATTCTACATTGCTGGGCCCAGTGCTCGTCAAAAATGCTTATTTGCAGGGGGGGAACCTTCCATTCGTAACTCCTAATTCAGGACTGGGCACAGCTGGGGCGCGGAGAGTATCCGCACAGCTCTTTCTCAGTCTCTTGCTTCCCCATACCCCTTATGTCCAGCGGGCTTCAGCAGAAGCTGCCGCGCAGCGGTTCATGTCGCTTTTGTTGCCGCAGCATTCTGACGGGTTCACACCGATTACAGCGTTCGCCTTTCAAGGCCGTGCCCCTGACGCAGGACGCCGCTTGCGAATGTCGTGTCCAAGGGTCGGCAAACTATTTCTTGCTGTTACTGGAGCAATCTCTTTGCATGAGAAGTAGGCGTCTCTTCAGGGTGCCGATTCTTAAAGACTTTGGAAAAAACTGCGGCTGAAATCATCTCAACAGGTCGCGGGCGTCTGGGGGAAGCGCAGCATGACACCCGCACACTCAAGGTTCAACTCGAAAGGCCTCTCAAGCGTAGGATTGGGGTATTTGAGGCCCAATGTGAAACCGTGATCTTGGATTTGGAGAGGGAAAAGCAACACCTCAGCCTCAAAGCTTCTTACAATGCGTTGCGAGCCCCTATTGACCATGGTGTGCAGAGACTGGGTTGTGGCACGTTGGATCTTTTAATCTAGTACTTTTACAGGCGGGCGCCACCTTAGGTACTTTTACAGGCGCGCCAACCACAGCACGGGCTTGCCACTAGCTGCCATGGCTGCGGGACTCTCAACAAGTCTGCAACATCGCCAGCCGAGATCACCAACAACACGGTCACAATTCACTTTCTCGTCAGAAATAGCAACGGTCCAGCCTCAGACAGTGTCCCCCCTGCATAGCTGACTTTGGTAAGGCATGATCCTGTGTGCAACCTGGTTTGGAGAATCTGTGACTTGACCTGTATTGTTGCAGGGTGCCAACACGAGCAAGGAGTGGGCTCCGTAGCTCTCAACATCTCCGATTCTGGTGTCCAGAATGCCCATGTTCGTGCGCCGTCCCTGCACGTCAAGGCAACTGGCCAATCGAGTCATGTCACAAGCTCCAGGCTTTTGGTCGGCGATTTGCCCAGGCATGGGGATGGCTTTGGTCATGCCCGACGCAAATATGCTTGTGGAAGGGTGCCATTTGTATGCATGACTGTGTCAGCTGCTCTGTTCTTGCAGCATTCATTTTTTTCTGCGGTCCTGTGTTGATTCAGACTCCGAGACACACGCACAAAAGCTGCAAAGCCCGAGCTATCCTTCGAAGGATCCCAGTCCAAAGGCGAAAGCCATAGATTCATGCAGTTGACTCTTGCCGGTGGTAATGCGTGGATTTCGGATGTGGTCTATCACCTGGTCCAGCCAGCGGCATGCACGCACACTTCAATCTTACTGGAAGTGTGAGTTCGGAGCACTCCTCCAGCACTGCGTGCAATGCCAGTGAGGCCGGCAATGGCTCACCGGGACTTGTCGTCTTTGGCAGACTTTGCAAGGCTTTCACAAAATCTTGGCATGCGCACTTCGGCCCTTGGTGCCGGGCACGTTTCTGTTTGAATGGTGCACCCTCTCGACATTTGGAAGGGGCGGTTGCGTCGTGATCAAAATGTGAGCGTCGGGGATGTCAATCCCAGTTTCGAAAGGTCGTAGGGGTGGACATTCCATGCACCAGGGCAGCAGTTCAGCCGCTGCTTTCTCAGCAAGTGCTCCCTAGAATCCACCTTTTCAGTCACCCTATCCCACTGCCCCGACCTTGTTGGATGGCTGCAGCGAAGCTACGAGTGCAGGAGTTTCTCCGCAGGCAGTTTTGAGCCAGAAACTCCTGGTGCACGATGCAGAGATGTGCATTCAACCTCATGATCTCCTTTGTTGCGATCAGTTTGCAGCTCTGAATATTTTAGCTCCAGCACTGATCTAAGGGCGAGGCCTTTCTCGGGGCGGTCAGGAAGTCTGCAGCTCAGCACAGCCTTCATTGCCAAGAGGCACTTCATTGCAGGGTCCCTCGAACCTCCGCGGCTGTTTGCACTTGCCTGGCGCATTCTCAGCCAATTTGAAAGTTTCACAGACATGCTGCGCGGCACACGCTGTCGGTTTTGCTGTGCCTTAAAGCACAGCTAAGAGCAGGTGTTGAGATGGCTTGTTTGAGAGGCAAGAACGACCTCTCTCAACCAGTGCAAAGCGTGAACGGTCCACTTTGAGTTTCAGCAACCGAATGGTCGGCCTGACAGCCAGCGGGTGGACAGCAACGCTGGCTTGAACTTGCAGCTGGCTTGAGACATGTGGGCATTCCACACAAGCGAATGCCAATCGCACAGCGCTACTTGCAGAGCGCTACTTGTAGCGCTTTGCAGCCACGTTCCAGGGGCCTCACGTCAATGCGTTTTGGGAGCTCCGCAAGCTCGGAACCTCTCGTTCAAGTTGCAACTGCCAGTGTCAGGGGCCTGCAGAATGACGGGCCATGAACTTCGTCCTAAATCGAACACTGCGCTACACGTTGGCTCTGCGCTGTATTTGGCTCACTTTCCGATGTCTTCCCAATCCCCTTGCAGTGCGCGGGGAGTCAACTGGCTGTTGAGATGGAACCTCAAAACCGGCAGAGGCGTTGTGTGTTCGGTCACGCCGGTCGCGCGGGTCTTGCTTCCATACTGCCAAAGCGCTGCTTTTGGCGACACACGCATGGCCTTGAATGCATTTCTACCTGTTCTGCTGTTCCTGGCATTAGACATGTTTCCTCATGCCCAAAAGCAGCCTCATGATGTGGATCAGTGTCAGAAACTGCTCAGCTCGAAGATCATGTTGCATGCTTCGTGCAGTCTGCTCTCTGACTCCAGCACTGGAAGATTGCCCCGCCTGTCTTGCCAAGAGGCCTGCAGCCTGGTTTCCTTTGTTGGCCCTTTGCGCAGCTGCCTCGACGTCGGCCAAAGCTCCCTGAGGCGGTTTCGAATTCGACCAGGGCATGAAGTGCTTCTCCTGAAAAGGGCCTCCTGGGACTTAGGTGTGGGCTATCTTGCCCCTTCTCGAAGCATGCTTCGCATATCCGTCACGGACCCAGGGATGTTGCTTTGTTTGTTGGCCCCGCAGCTTTCGATAGCGGTTGCCTGAGTCCATGAGGCTGTTGCAAGATCCGAGGCCACGTCAGAGCGAGTCAGGGCTTAGTGCGACTTGACAGCGCGGTGCCGCAAATTCATGGAGTCATACTGCCAACAGCGGGAGATTCGTGAATAGTTGCAACAGCGTTGCCTAGTCCAGATGCCGAGTCATATTTGCAAACACTCCAAGTAGTCATGCGCTATGCTTCAGTAGTGTTGCATTGCACGGCTCGATTGGAAACCCTGCGCGCGAGCGATTTTGCGCAACTTCGTACATCTTTGATGCCATCATCTAAGCTCAGTTGGTTACCTTTTGCCACCGGCAAGCTGCAGTGCAAAGCACACGCTGTCCGATTTTTCGCGGCTTGCTTGTTTCAGTCATACTGCCCAATGTCAGCTTGCAGGTTTGCGGCTGAGAATGCGTTGGTGTCAGTGGCTTTATTCTTTGCCGTTTCTGGCTTTGATCTGCACGCAAGAGAAACATTTCAGTTCCCTGACAATGAGTTGGGATGAGCCGCCAAGTTCTGCTCATGCGGTCGATTCAATCAGCACGGGCGACGTGAGTCACAGATGACAACAGGCTGTATGACAGCAGGTAGTGTCAGACAGCGTGGTCAAGCTTTCGTCTCGTACTTACACTTGTGAGGACAAACATGTAGCGCGACCTGTTCCACTGGTGCGAGCGCTGGTCACCGGCGACGGACAGTTGGTCTCGCCTTTGTTTGTGACTTTGACAAGTAACTCCTGTTATCAACGTGAAGCGCACCTTTTTGGGAATCTACATGGAGTAGCCAAAAAGGTGATGTGTCGATCATATAGCAGACAGTGGGTCAAGCAAATCTCTTCCCTGTAAGGCATACTCCGGAAGGACAATGGTCTGATGAACAACAGCGACCAATTCATCCGAGCGCCAAGCCGGCCTGCGAAAGAGCAGAGAGCTGGCGATTCGGAAAGTTGAGTTCGGCTGAGTAAGTAAGCACGGGCATGGCTTTAGGCGGAATGAATGAGCCCATTTGCAACGCGAGGCTGTTGTATTGAAGTGGCGCCTTGCTTTCGCTAACCCTCGGGTGCCGTCGCTTGTCGCTGTCCTGGCAGTCGCTTGGCTGCGTTTCCGGACTGTGTCCGTTGCGTTCCGGGGCCCCTGGCTTTGTATGTCAATTTTGCTTCGGTGCTCACGGCTTCGTTGGACCATTGCTCAGCTGGACTGCAGCCTCAGGACTTGTGACGTGCGCTGGAACTTTCCTCTCATTAAAAGGCCTGCCATTGGGGCACCATGACCAAATTCCAGGTCTGGGGCACACTGTTTCGGAGGAAATTGGGCTGCTTTGCCCTTGCAGGGAGGTTGCGCTCGTTAGCCATGCCGATTCCAAGTCACAGCAGTGCATCCCGTGTGCTTTTTGCGTTGATTGCAGTTGCAAGCTCATATCAGCCTGAGCCATGTGGTTGTTCCTTGCCACGTGCGTGCGAATCTGGGAGCCCGCAGAATCACAGAGCTGCTACGTTGGCTTGATAGAAACTAGCTGGAGCGTCCATTTTCTAGTAAGTCCAACGGCCACTCTTGCAGATGGGGCCATGGTTGCCAGGCGGGCTTGAAGTTTGCTGGCTTCTTTGGCCTTGCAGGGAGGTTTCGCGGATTTGGAGCCGTGCAGATTCCAGGTCACACGTCCATGGCTTGTGTCATTTGCAGTTGCAAGCTCGTATCAGCGGGCCGTGCGGTTGTTCCTTCCCAGGTTCGCGCGCATAAGGGAGCCCGCGGGTAACGGAGCTTGGCTTGATAGAAGCTAGCTCAAGTGTCAGTAAGCATTCATTTCCCAGTACGTCCAACTACTGCTCTTGCAGATGGGGCCATCTTGGCTTGCAGGTTGCCAGAAGGCCTGGCTTGACTGGGCTTGAAGCAGCCTTGCAGTTTGCTTGCTTCTTTGGCCTTGCAGGGAGGTTGCGCTTGTTTGGAGTCATGCCGATTCCAAGTCACAGCCATCAATCTCCATGTGCGCTTGCGCAATTTGCAGTTGCAAGCTCACACAGCCTGAGCGGTTGTTCCATGCCACGTTCGTGCGCATTTGGGAGCCGGCAGCATCACAGAGCTGGGGCCACGTTGGCTCGATAGAAGCTAGCTCAAGTGGCAGTAAGCATCCATTTCCCAGCAAGTCCAATGGCTGCTCTTGCAGACGCAGACAGAGCCAGATAGGCTTGCAGGTTGCCAGGAGCCGGGCTTAAGTGGGCTTGAAGCAGCCTTGCAGTTTGCGGGCTTCTTTGGCCTTTGCAGGGAGGCTGCGCCTATTTGGAGCCATGTTCCAAGTCACTTGCCTCCATCTCCGTTGCTTTGCAATGGCAAGCTCGCGCTAGCCTGAGACATGTGGCCTCACCTCCTTGAGCCATGCCATGCTCAAGCGAGTCGTCGCAGATGCAGCTATCAGTTGTCGTCGCAAACGCAACTTCAGTTGCTGATTCGACCAGCGGCTGCCAAAAGCAATGATTTGAACGCTGACACTCCCCTTGCAGCTGCGGCGCAAGCGAAGCGGTGGATATTCTTCGGATCTATCCAGTGGACGAGTCCAATAGCGGCCGCGGCTTTCCTTGCCTTCGCATGTGAGTGCTTGAGCGCATGAGCGCCACAGTAGCTGAGCGCCATCTTCCAACGCAAGTGCCGCAAAGCTTTCGCCTGTGAGTCGCCATTTTGCAGATGATGCGCCTTCTTGAGCCATGCCGCAGCAAATGCTCAGCTATGGGAATTTAACATCCAACTTGGCCAGGGCCCTAATTTGCTTGGCTTGGCTTCGGAGCTTGTCTGTCTGCTCCGGCGCCCACTTGCGCCAGCTTGCCAATAGTGGAGCAGAAGAGGGAGACGAGGGCTTTGGTTGTGAAACATGTCGGAGCTGCCTGTCAGGCGAGACTTCAAATCCGAAGCCCTTGTCCTTCACATGAGCCCGACTCATTGGACGCTGCCCTGACTTTCGGTCGCTTCCCAGCCAGCCCATGCAAGAATATTCCCCATCCAGTGTGGGCTGTGAGGATCTTACCCAGGATACCTAGGTTGCGGGTCCCCCAAATCAAAGGCAATCTAGTTGCGGCTTGAACATAGAGGCCAGTCCCATGCATATGCTGGCCAGTGTTTGTTTGTTCCGCATTGGTTTGCAAGCTGCCCTTGGCAGGTATAGCAAGTCTACTGAGTTGAGTGCTTCTGGAGCTATGGACTTCAGCGTCCCGGCAGATAGTGTTGCTTGGCAAGGTCACTGGGACATTGCGCCGTTTTGAGAGCAACGCTGGGCCGTAAGTGCCGGCGGAAATGCGCGCGCAGATTTTGCGCCTCATCATTCGGAGCGGACAAGAGGCAACCCAGAGACTCGTTTGTTGCTTGTCAATGAACGTTTCAAAGCATTTCTGTGACCCTGGTTGAGCTACCGAAAGCAGACCGAGCAGACGACCGTAAGGCTGAGCTTACAGGCGCGCGAGCGGCGCGGTAGCATTTGGACCACGCTCCAGCACGCAGCGGCCGTTTTATGTTGAGGGCTTGGCGCAGACCATTGCCGAAGCATCCCAAGTGTGCACTTTGCCAAGCGTCTAATGGTAGTGCTTTCTTTAGGCGCATTCGCCTGTGAGCTTGAGGACTCTCGCGCACGCAAAGTTCTTGCGCTCGAGTGGCATCGCACGCTTCAGTGACGGCAGCTTACAGAGAAAGAGCGCGCAGTGCAATTGGTTTTCCCTTTCTTTCGAGTCGCATATGTCGTTTGCCGCATGTGGTTTGGCCGTGGGTGTTGTAGATAACTTGCTTTGGAACGCTATTTTTGAAATGCACTTTGCAGCAAGGCTGTTGGCTTACAAGTTTTAGGTTGCAACGCTTCAGGCTTTTCACATCTTAATTAGATTTCAGTTTAAATTATGTTTCGAAATAGAATTTACATGTGTTTTCCTTTCCAAGCATGATTCTGATTGGGTTTTAACTGGAACCTAAGAAGGAAAGGGAAGCTTGTTGCTCCTTCTCATTTGCAAGCTCTGCCGCGCGAAGCTCCGCTGGGAACGGTTCTGATTAGCACCCCGTGTCAGCAGAATTAGTCTTGCCGCGGACCGCAGGTTTTAGTCCTTGTTTCCATTAACTAGGGTTCCATTTGGGGTTACCCAATTTTTGACCCACATCCAAATGTCAAAATGGCCTTGTCGCACGGTGCATTTCGGCCTAGCCGCGCTCCATAGCGCATCTAAACGCAGCCTTGCTGCGCAGCATATCTCAACGCAGCCTCGCTGCGCGGCATATCGCAACATAGCCTTACTGCGCAGAACATCTCAACATAGTCTTGCTTCACAGCTCATCTGAACATAGCTTTGCGTGCATCTCAGCGTAGCCTTGCTGCACGGCGCGTCTCAACATGGCCTTGCATGTCAACAATAGAACTGAACGGCATTTCCTTGAGTTTCTATTGGTTTGTCTCTTCTTCTCAGGGGCAGGCGAATTGGAAGAAACAACCAGCTTGTCTTTCCATACGGGATCCCAATTGAATTCTAGTTCAGTTCTAATGCCAAACAGTGCAACAGGAAGAAAAGAAGTATGCTAAGAAAATTGCAGCTACTCTGTTAATAGACAAGACAGTTTGCCCCTGCAGCGAGCGCCTGTCAAAACAGTGCATTGCTTCTGTTCTGTGCGGCATGATCTTCCCGGCTTTCATGTCTCACGTCAATGAATCGTTTGATGTGTTTTAGATATAGATCCCGGGAGGAGTCGGGTAAAATAGAGCGGTAGCACGCGACCGATTGTTTTGTGAGTTGCAGCCACATGATGAACCTCTGTCTGCGAGGGGGAATGCCCCCGGCCCCGTGCCTATTTTGCAGACACGTTCTGATTGCAAATCTTTGGTCTAGTTTCGGTCACAAAAGGCTCCCTTGTTGTGTTGTTGCTTGGCGCTCACGTTGACCCAAGGCTCCAAACAGTACATGTGACATAGCGTGACAAAAGCGAGTGACCTCTTGCTGAGCAACGGGTGAAGACCTTTACTGGCCTACAAACATCCTACCACCCTGAGTTTGCATTGCTTGGTAGTACAATCAGCAGTGGTGGTTCCACTCTTGTCCGAAGATATGGGACACGCAGCCCCAAATCTCTGTGAGGAACTGGGGCACACTTACCAAATTGCTTGTCAACTGTAGACAAGGTCTTTGATCGTTACGCAGGACCCTGATAGTTGACAGTGACATTAGAGTTGCTATTGGCAGCGTCCCCTTGCGTCCACAATCTCAGATGACTTTTCCACTCAGTGCTACTGGATCGCTTGCTTGAACGAAGCTGATTGGACGTGTGACGCAGCGAAACAATGTTTGGCAAACCTGAGTCCATGTTTCATTGATCGGGTTGGAATGCATTTGCGGGCCGAAGAAGAGCCCATTGCAGACCGAGGGGTGCCTCGGTTTCCACGACCTTTCCCCGTTGTGGGATGAACTCATCTGACCCTTAAACCGACCTCGCCAGGGCCATCGCTGCCGGGGATTCGGTGCCTTGGCAGAGAGCTTCCTCAAACCCTGAT